TTCGCTACACCCAGGCGACGGCGTTCAGTGGCCTCAAAGCAGTCCACTTCCCGACTATTGATCCACTGAGGCGCGTCTACCAGTCCGCGGTCTTCGAAACACGTCGCGGCTCCGTACAGACACCGCGCGTAGATGCTACCGGGGCGATGAGCTCGTCCCGTTAAGTATCTGGCACTGCCATGTTCAATCTGGACACCGTCGACGTTGCACGCAGCGGGTCGTGCCCACACACAAGCGCCCCACGAGAGCAGAAGCAACGTCGGGAGCAGCATTGATACAGTGGAGACGGTTGAGCGGACTGACTACTCGACTGTGATTGGCTGATAAAGAAAGGGTTCAGAAGTTAATGACAAGACGGTTATAAAAAAATAATACACTGCAATCAGAAAACGAGCAAATATATTTCCATGTCAAGAGCTAGCCCAATAAAGTGGTATGGGAGTGTTTACTTCGCTTTATGTCGTGGCTGATGTCACAAAGATAACACACAGGCGCAAGAAGCTGTAGAGTAATACGATTACCGAAGCTCGTGCGAGTCGCGGGATGCTAGGGACTACTTATTAATAAGTAAGATGTTTCAAAAGCCGAATGAGACTATTTTATATTTTGGACTCGCACCCATTTTGAGCCCTCATAGTCCGTAACCCCGTTCTCCCTAGTTTCCCTCGACGCACTCACGTGGCTCACGGCCTTTGATCCCTCGACTCAGCAAAGTCGCTGTATATGGGCTTAGATTTTATCCCGAGACAGTGTTGTCAAGAAGAACCTTTAATATGCTCTTCAGTAGCTTTAGAGTACAGTATAAATAATTTTTGTTTATTCGAATGCTCGGTTGGGTGATAAAGGTAACTAAAAAAAGCGTGCTCGTGGTTGCCCAGTGCGATTCATTGTTATTAACAATGTGTTAATCAGATTTTTGGCGATTCATTGAAGTAGCTTATAAAGGCCAACACCAACACCAGCTGTGATACCCAAGCTAAGCAAAATTGAAATTGCGCTCACCCACATCTTCGCCTTAGGAGAAAGAGGTTTTTCGCTCGCCTTATGGGAGATTTTTTCGTCCTTGCGCTTCTTCGAAGTTGTCGATTCGTCGTCGCTATCCAGCATGTACGCAGCAGCGTCAAACCTCTCTTCATTCTTAAGTTTCTGCGGCCTCCGGAGACGTTGGATTTTGTGCTTTGATCGAATACCCTTGGCGTTAGAAGCCTTGGCAATTCTGGGAACTCGAGGATCTCCGTCGGTGTCAGCGACTACCATGCCGCTCACGGTAGAACAGGCCACGAGCAGGGCAAGAAAAAAGTTAATGTGCATGGTACTGCAAAAATCGGAATGACTTGTACAGGACAAAGCTAAGCACAAAGGAACTGACAACTGAACCACAGTTCGAGCAAACAACTACTTGAAACAGTTTTTATTCCAGTGCCTGATTACTTAATGTATTATTCCACCAGTTACTATTGTAAAATTCGATGATAATTCACAGCTAGGGCGGCTAAAAGAGCTGAACATTCTACGCATTTCTTAAATAATTATTAGGCACACCAATTCACAATCAAACACAGATTTCATAAAACCTACGGGTCACGCCAATTTGGATGACGTCAGTAAAGGTAATCGCTCGGTGTGTGACTATTTCATTACTTCATTGCGCTGTCATTTATTTAATTCCTTCTTTATCCTATTTGTTTTTTTATAAACGATTCTGGGTCATTCTTATTATAGACCTCACGTAACTTCCTTCAAACATGTCCAAGGACCCACATAGAGTCGCAGAAGCTTTACTTGGGAATGGAGGGCAACTTGGGGATCTTGTACGTCTGCGGCGAGCAAACCGACGGGAAGATTACAGTCGTGGACAGTCTACTAGGACGCAAAGTAAGAGCAATCTGCGGCGGCTATGACCGGTTTGTGGCGTTAGTAGACGCGTGGGAACTCGACTGGGCAGCCAGCAAAGAGAGGAACTTTGAAAGTCAATTGGTAGAGGAAGGATTGAAGGATGTGAAAGTCCACCACGTCGCGGTTGGGAAGAATCACAATGTCGTGCTCTCGTTAGACGGTCAGCTTTTCTCGTGGGGTGAACCTGGTACAATGCCGCAATGCAGTGAACTTGGCCATCAGCGTGGCTTGTCTAATGTGCAGAAGTACCGTGTTAGAACTCCTGGTCCTGAATCGGACGACACTACAGCTACTGGGATACCACATCGCGTCGTAACAGCGCCGGAACTGCTGTTCACTCAAGTATCTTGTGGTAAACACCACTCTGCTGCAGTGACAGAGAAGGGAGATTTGTACACGTGGGGTCGGAATACTGAAGGGCAACTTGGTCACGTGTTCAATACCCTTTCAAAAGAGGTTAATGCTGTGGCTAATGGTATATCTGCGTGGCCGAAATACGTCGGGTTCTTTCTAGGCAAACCTCGCATTGTATCGGCCAGTTGTGGCAACACATTCACCGCGGTTCTACTCGCGGATGGGAGCATTTACCTTATCGGAGGCAGCTCACTTAGACCAGCCTCATACACTATTAAGAAATCGGTACCAAGCTCCAATACCTTCAACTTGCTACTGGAAAAAGGGTCGGGCGGAGAACCTTTTGTCGCTTTAACAAGCGGATCGGAGCATATCTTAGCGGTAACAAACGTAGGTGAGGTAGTCTCGTGGGGGTTAAATATCTTTGGACAACTGGGGCACGGTAGAAAAACAGGACGAGGGAAATCAGACGTTAAAGGTGGGAAAGCGCTACCCGGTAGTGTGTCTTGTGATAGAGTAATCAAGTGGACCAAGGTCTTTGCCGGCGCCAGCTACTCAGCTGCAATTACTACCGAACATCAGCTATATACCTGGGGAAATGGAAGCTACGGACAGTTGG